GCCTTAGCACCTACTGAAGTTCAGCTATAGATCTACAAAGTTTGGATCTATCCAGCTGTGCCTGGCTTAGGTCTGTATGCTGTGCTCAGTTCCTTCCTGTTGCTGCCCTTGGGGGTGAACCCATTGTGCCCCTCTGGAAAGATGTTCTGCTCCTGTACTGGTTGTGTGGTTCTGTCCCCTACACTGTCTGCAGGGATTGCAGCTGAAGATTTCACCCCAGGCCTGTATGCCTGGCCTTTGCTGAGTCTGGAGGGTACAAGGTGGAGTAGGGGGGAGAGGCTGCTCTCCCACACACTCACTGCGCCTGGACTTGGACTTGATCTGGGGGTTACCAGATGTAAGATAATTCCTAGTCTGTGGGCGGTGTGCGTGTTGGGGGGTACTATGGAGTGATGTGGGGCATCCCAAGAGGGTGAAAGAGGGTGTTACCCATGCTTAGCCTGGGCTGGGACCAGTAGGTTCTGCCGGGGCAGGCTAGCAGGACGTTCTCTCACACACTCACCGGGCCTGGGCTAGGACTGGTTCTGGGGGTTCCCGGAACGCAGCAGAAATTCCTACTTGGCAGGTTGGGTAGGGGAGGTGCTGCGGAGTGTTTGGGGGCATCCCAAGGGGGTGGAAGAGGGTCTCACCCACACTGTGCCTGGCCTACAGTGCACTTTTAGAAGACCAGATTGAAAGATATTCCAAGCATGGTTTTAGCATTACACATTGTTATCCTCAGTGTAGGTGCTTAGTTCACAGACATCAGCATATATAGTCAGTGTGAGAATTCTATCCATTAACTGCTAGTTTCAAAAGCCTGTAAGGGATTCTTAGGACCATTACCTATCCCATCTTATTTGAATAAATGTAAGATTTTGCCCCTACAGTGTTTCCTAACTTTTCTCCTTTCTCTCTCTTTGTTGTTTAATTCTTCAGTTCTTGCTTTTAATTTAACTGTGTTTTAGCTTTCAGTTTTTATTTCTTCTTTTGAGTTCTTACCCTAAGGAGGCAATATGATATTTACACATTTGGTCTGGTTTATTTCACTTATGAGTATATCTTCAACTTGCATCCACTTATAATTGAAGACTTTGACTTTATTGTTCTTTATAACTGAGTAATACTCCATTATATAAAAATACCACAACTTTTTCATCCATTCCACAGGGGACAAGCATTTTGGTTGTTTCCAAGATTTAGTTATCACAAATTGTGAGACTATAAACATAGGCACACATATATCACTATGATATGATGTTTTGAGTTCTTTTGGGAAAATTCCCAGAAGGGGGATAGCTGGATTGAATGGTATTTCTAGTCCTAGATTTTTTAAAATATATATTTTAGGTAATGGTCTACAGGGTGTTCAGGGGCTCACTGCTAGATAGGATTCATAGTGATCCACCTGTTCACAGCATCCCAAGAGCTGGGATTACAGGTGTGCACTACCATGCTCAGTCTCAGTTGCCATCTCAGTGTGCCCTGAGGATGGGGCTGGCATGTCAGTCCTGGGGATTGAACCCCCAGCTCCCGGGCCTGCTTACAGGTACTTTAATCCAGTGAACTATTTTGGGGGCCCCTTCTAGTTGATTTTAACTATAATTCTGTCTGAATAAAACAGACATGCCTTGTGGAAGGACAGAAATTACAGTTATTTAGAGAAAATTTCTCATTCCTGAGAGTTTTTCCAATGTGAGACTAGAGCCTTTTATGTGTCTGGCACAAAGAAATAGATCAAAGTATGTTTTTTGATAGATGGCTAAGTGATCTTCCCTGCTCAGCAGCTCTGGGCTGTCTGACTTGAGGTTGCTATCACCTCTGCCCGCCAGCAGGGGAAGACTGGAGTCTAAAGCCAGGCTGGGCTGACAAGGCTGGGGCTACAGTGTGTCTCCCCAGGAGGTGATGCTGAGCCCTTTGGCAATTCTGGGCTGGAATGGAGCTCAGTCAGCTTTACCAGGTAGAAGGGAAGAGAGCTCTAGTCTGGCTGTGGCAAGTGATAAAAGTGAATGCACACAGAGTATGGAACTGAGTTGGGAGACTAGAAGAAAGGGGATTAAACCTGAGAGACTGGAAGGGAAAAGTGCTGGTGGCCAGGTGCACCATGGTGGACATAGGGGCTGATGTGGAAAGGCCAGGCAGCAAGGGTGGGGGTGGACTCAACTGAGTGATGGTCTAGGAGAGGGCACTAAATGCGACCTGGGAGCCTGCAGACCACCTGAGCCTCCTAAGCAGCAGACATCACTGAATAGGGGAGAAACTGGCCCCACTGGAGAGAGGCCCAGGACATGACACTCCTGGGTGCCAGGAGTTACCTCTTTTCCACTGCTCACTTCTTTGGCAAATTGTTGGAGGCCTAATGAAAATTGTTGGTTTAGACATGATAAGAAGCTCCTAAAGCCCAGGGATATCAAATTTGTAGCACTAAGAAAGAACATGGGACCATGTGAATGAGGACAGCTCCTAATGCTGCAGGCTCTCCACTACACAGGGAACAGGACCACATGGGAGTGCTGAGCATTAAAACAAATCGTTTCAACTTTAATTTCCCATCTTAACTTGTGCTTGAGCAGTCAGGGACCTCTGATGTTTCCTTCCATTGTGTGGAATGGAATGAGGGAAGAAAAATGGAAGGGAGAAAACAGTCACAGCCAGAATGGAAAGCAGTGCAGGTTCACAGTCAGTGGGGTCAGTGAACAAGCAGGACTTGAGCTACATTCAATCTTGAGAACCATCTAGTATCACAGTGCAATCCCCATGGCTCATGCTCATGAGAGTCATTCTTTTGGTCTGAAAAGCCAGAGAGGCACAGGGGAGACCAATCTTATGCCTGCTTTTACAAGTGTCCCATGGTGCTCCTTGTCCAGGAAAGAAAGAGGGAGACATTTTAAAGACAGCTGGGGGTCTTCCAACATTTGTTCTAATGAAGAAAATACTTGCATCATATTTTTTTCACATGAGGTTACTCCCAGAGTCTCCCTACAGTTGGAGAAGGAATGTCTGAGCTGGCCTCATTCTAAGGTGTCCTGGAAACTCTACAGTGCATGTGAGCAGGGATCAGGGAAAGGCAGACCTGTCTGCTTCTTATAATCAGGGGCTCTAACCTGACCCCAACTTTACTTTCTCATTTTAACTTACCTAAAACTTTCTGTGCATGCCTTAGATTTACTCCTGTGATAACGCTATTCTCAGTAACCTACTGCTCCACCTTCTATTCCTATCCACCAGGGTGTGGAGTACAGAGTGCATGGCTTGAGAACTCCACCCTCCAAGCCTTGGGTTTATGTCTAGGGAATTGAACACTATCACCTCCCATTGAGTTTCTCCTACCCTGGGTTTTGTAATCATAGTCAGTGAAACCCTCACCTTGCAACAAGTCTTGGTGTTCCTTGGGTCTCACATGCATATCTCAGTGACATCAGAACACACACATGTATGATCTGCATTTTAGTTCATCTTACACTGCCAGCACACCCTGTGCAGTGTAGTTGCCCTGGAGTCTGATGGGGTCATTCTTTCCCAACCTTCCAAGAGGCATATGTCCACTGAGTTCATCTGGGTCATGTCTTTGTGCAGTCTGAGGGGCTGCACAACTTTACTCAGCTTGGCCTTTTTTGCTAATTGATGGATAAAAGCAAGAGAGTACAGATCAGGCTATGGCACAGACCCTATTCTTTCTGGGCCTTGATATCAAGATGCTGAAGATGGCAAGAAGGGAAAGAGCAGGCTTCCAGGGGAAAGAATGACTCTGTATTAGAATTACAAGAGCAAAAGGAAGATACTTACAGCAGCCTGTTGTCATTTCTAAGTCACATGCATTGTTGGACTGTCATGTGATAATATTGGTAGCACTTGCAAGCAGGAATAAAACTTAAGGATATTATTTCTAACACAAGTCCAGATCTTATGAAACAATATGGATGTTAGACTAAAATCAGAAAATGCTTAGCCCTTCCAGTATCATTGGACTTTGTTATGATATTCACTGTTGATCCCTAAGACCAGGCAATAGTAAGTGCTCAGGGTGTACTTGTTTGCTGATTGATCAAAACTGGTATATTTTCCTGACTTTCTTTGGTGAGGAGCCCTTTGTAAGGTAAAGGACTGGTATAGCTCATGTGTGCCCATGGTGATCACCAGGGTAGGGTTCATGGGGCTCAGGAAATTCAGTGAGCAAGGGCTCCTGAGCATATAGGAAGTCAGAGGAGGGAGGGGCCCTGCTGAATGAGAGGTGGGGCCATGGGTTCTGATCCCACCAGGCTTGTTTTTCATAGACCTTGCATAGACACACATGTGTTTCTGGATGTTCTAGGTGGAGTGATTTAAGGACAGACCAACATCAAATCCTTGTGGCCTAATGAGGACAGGAGTTGGTGGACTGTGACAACTGTGAGGAGGCAAATTAAGATGTGCAGCCTGGTGGCTATAAACATAGGTTAGTCTTGGTCTTAGAGTAGAAAGTGGAAGGAAACAAATTGCAGATGAGAATGAAGAGTCACTGAGGATCCTCCATAGCCCATTATCCCTAAACCTATGGGAAAGGAATGTCCTGCTGAGGAAGAGCCTCTCCTACTCAGTATGACAGGACTCAGTGGTGACCTGAGTGGTGCCTGATGGGTCTACAGCACCGATGAAATCATCTCCCTTCCCCTCTGCCATATGAAACATGAAGAGGTCACCTGTGCACCCTGAGAGACAGGATAAGTGCTCTGCAAATTTTCCTCTGATGATGCTTAGCTTCTGTCCTTGCAAAAGGGGAGGCTGTGGAGAAGCGAAAGAAGGTGAGAGTGACTTGGTTAACAGATTTGAGAGGGGATTTTGAAGGTATTTGGGAAGCAGGAGGGGCAGAGGCCAAAATTCATGTATTTTTCCCATTGGCCTGCTTTGCAGGAGTAGGTACATGTGAAAGCAATTACATAAGCAAAGAAGAGACCAGCCTTCTTACTGAGATGAGACATTTATTTAGTTGTGGGCATCTGCTCTAGAGCAATTCTAGACTCAGCTCCAGGAAATATGGTTGATCAGACAGGGTTCTTTGTTTGCTCACCCAAGTGAGTGCTTTTTATGACTTGCTTTATCCAGGCTAGATATGGAGAGACTTTGGTGTAGACATGTGGATTTGCCCCACTTTTCTCTCTGTATTCATGCCCATAGGTGGTCACGCCATGAAGCACATTATCACACACGAGAGGGCCTCCAGAGTCACACTGTGAATAGAGAGAGAGGGTGTGAGGCAGTGAAGTACAAGTCCTCCTGGACTTGTACCCTCTGATATGCCCAACACTTCTTGAAGTACTATTCATAGTGTGCTGAGAGATTAGGGGGGCATGACAGGACTTGGGGGCTTAGCAGCCAAGATCTGGCTATGGACAGTGTTTCATTTTCCTTTTAATTTTTTATTCATTTAATGAGGAAATAAAATATCAATGAGACAGTTTCAAAACAGGTTAGTAGCACAGTTACAATAATTAATATATTGCATACTGTTGTCTTCATAGTGGTTATTCGCAGGAAAATATGCAGATGTATCTTGTCTAAGCAATATTAGTACAAACCTTTAAAAAGGGGGGATATAAATAAAGAACCATCTTATAGTGAAAAAAACCAAAATATATATACAAAATGGTTAGGATAGATATACATCTACTTCCTCTTGGACATTGTTTCTGCTTTACCTCCCTTGCCTTTGATCTCACCCGAGGTCTTGGGAATTTATGCCTGTAGAGTCCAATGGGTCTATTGGTTTCAGGCTAGTCATTAAGGACATGGAGGCAGTTCAGTGGGTCAGACATGGAGCAGGGAAGATGAGCCCATTGACCAAGAGGGTCAGGAGGCTCTGAGGAGAAAATTGGCTATAATTACTTAATGCACAGGGAATGGTTTCTGAAGCCTGAAATGTGAACTCAGGGAGCATGTTGCAAAGTCCTGCTTCCAGAGGGTCACTGCTCACCAGAGGCCCTTGGTGAAGTGGTAGAAGCCTCTGTTACCTCCCACCTCAGGCTGCTCCCTTTTTCTTTTTTCAGGGAGAACTATCACAACTTACACAATGAAGCCCCATGTGTGGGCCTCCTGGTCCTACATCTGTCCCAAACACTCTTTCTCCTCAAACCAAGAGTGACACATGCCCAGTCTTACCAGAAAGGAGCCTTTTGGAGTCTTTGGGTCCCCAGCACAGATCTCAGTAGCACTGTTATATATAGGATAGCAGCTTTTACACTCCTCATCCTTTACCACTGTCACTTCCACCTCCTGCAGAGTGTTTGCAAATATGTCAGGGGCCAACATTCCCCATCCAGCCACCTGGCACACGGCACCTGGCATCACCTTGGCTTCTCCCTTGGGTAGCTTTAGAATCTGCACCTCTTTAGTCAGCTTGGCCTTTTTGTCCAGCTGATGGGAAAGAAGTAAGAGTCCAGATCAGCCTGTGCTTCTGGGGGAAACTGGGGGACATGATGGCATAGAGGGAAGGCACAGCGTTCCAGGGGAAGGAGCAGCACTGCATGAGGAGAGCAAGAGTAGCAGGGAGCTGTGTCTTACCTGCAGCAGCATGAGGTCATTTATAGACAGTTCAGGAATGAAGTGTGGGTGTGGGAAGCGCTGTTTCATATGTATGATCTGCGAAGTCTTCTCCTCTATCCTGAGGTTGTGAGCCCCCAGCAAAACATTTGTTTTTTTGTGCTCCAGAGTTCTGCACAGAGAATATGGTGGCTGGAGGAATGTGGAACCTGATAGGACCCATCCCAGGAGTTGTAAGCAGCAGGCTACAGCTGGTACATGTTTGAGTTCCAAATGAGAGGAAGGCCACCTGGCTGAGTGAGTATGCCATGTACTTCCTAGTAACACAGGGTGAAATCTTGGGTGCAGGGCACAAGAAGTTCTAAGGGGTCAGTTACCTCCATGAAGCAAATAAAATTGTTTTACTTTGCATTGTAATGCAAAGGCTTGTTCCTAGTCCTAAAATATCAGGCTTGTTTGCCCAGGTCTTTCCTATGTCAGCAATTTCTTGGATGCCAACTTGCTTGTCTCCCCTTGGGACTTTGCTGGCCCTTTCTCACCTTGAAAAGAGGCTTCTTATGTGCTTCCAGGCATTCGATGTACTCCTTTGTACTTTGGGACTTCAAAAGTGTTTCCCTGAGCCTGTGGGCAGTTTTTCATTACTCACCTGTTGAAACAGTGAGCAGCAGTCAGCACAAAGTTCTCGTGTATCAGGATGCCACCACAGATCGAATATCCACCAGCATAGAAGTGCTCAATGTAGGCCATGTAAGGACGAGAGTGGGGTTTGGCTTCATGTCCCCCGATGATCTCCCCTGGAGAAAAAGACAGTTTGTAGCCACTGAATACCGCCTGAATTTCTACATGGTGGCTCCAGAACTGCTGGACATTTGGCCACCTGGGATGTAATGCAACTGAGAGGAACCTGGAGGGAAGAGACACAGATTTTACTGCATAGGGAGGGAGATCAGGCCTTGGTCTTGAAATGTCTCTTCTCCATTTAATTGGAGATGAACTTACCTGTCTGGAGACAATAAAATCCCAGAGGCTTCCCATGCTTCCTCTCCTAACTACTTTATTTTGTTTCTTTAATTTTTTTAAAGAGTAAAAGATGAAAACCAAATATCAAAAATGATAACAAAAACAAACAACATAAATCAATAAAAGTGATACAGGATTTCAAAACAAGAACCAGAAATTAACAAAGGTTTTACATTATGTATTGTAATTATGAAATTTGTTGCTCAGATTGCCAGATAAAGGCATGCAAGATTGATCAGTTAAACAGTGACTTTTCCTTTCAATTAACTTAAATTTTTTTGTTTGGCTTTTTTACTTTTTAAAAATTTAATTTGAAGAGAGAAGAAAAAAATACTAGAGAAGACATTGTCCCTAATTCATTTCTGGAGTCAAGTGCTACACTTCCAGTGTACTCTAGATGCTGTCTGATCCTCTTGCCCAGGGCCTGACATGTAGTGGGTGCCTGAGAACTGTTCATTGCCTGTAGGGCAGCAGCTCAGGCAGTCTCTGCATGAAGGCTGGTAGGGCAGTGTTGATGGGATTCTGGAAGGCAGGGAAGACAGATGTGGCTCCGATGGGAAGCAAGGGAGACAGTAAGGATTGGGATTAAAGCAGAGTTGGAGAAAGAGAGTAGAACTGTGCAAAGGCAAAAATAGTGGTCTGGGCACAGAAATTCTACACATTCTGGGCACACAGAGCTCTGAGCATCTCTGCTAAGCAGCTAATGAGGGCAACACTTTTCTCCTTCCACATATGGAACATGCCCTCTCCAGGAATATTTGATATTTTCTTATCAACCTCTCACAATTCGCACGCACTCTGAAAACTCACTTTCTGGATGACAAAGGTGCGACCTAGTGTGGGGATAATGTCATTAGATCTTGTTGACAACAGTCTGTTGTAGTCTATCTAGAGTCTCCTTTGGGTTCTCTTGCGGTGTTGGAGGTCAGGTCGAGAGCAATCCAGGTAGACAGAAGGATCAGGGGGTACACAGAGGGACAGCCATGTCCTCTGTAAAACGAGGCTGGGGCTCTGGGGGTGGCGATGGTAACTTACCTGCCCTTGTCCTGGGGAGCAGAAAAAAAGGCAACAGAAGCAAGAGCAGCTGCATCTTCCTAAGAAGTCTTCGCAGGTGAGAGCTTCTGAACCTTTCTCCTTGCTGTCTTTTATCTCTCAGCAGAGGAAAGGGGCGGAGTTGGCTGAGTGACTTTTGTTTCCCACTTTTTTTTTTTATTAATCTTTTTATTTTTTGGCAGAACTGGATATTGAACTCAGACCCTTGCACTTTCCAGGGAAGTGTTTATTCTACTGAGCCAACTTCCTCAGCCCTCCCACTGTATTTTGATGCTTCATCCTGAGAAACTTTCTAAGAAAGTGCCCACCTTCCAATACCTCCCCTGATGACATTTCCTGTGTGTTTGTGGGAGAAACACACACTGACCACAGCTGATACTTCAGAGCTGATCACCTGCTACAGCCCACAAGACAAACCCAAGTGTCTGAGGTGGGGACTGGAGGATGTGGCATTGGCCAGTACAGCATCAGAAACCTGGGTTCCAGTGACAGAATTTATAACACAGGATTCTAAGTTCATGAGGATAGATTCTGCTTAGATAAGCATTAAGCCCTTCTCTTGTGCTAGGAGCAAGCCTGTTGGAGAGACAACTGACCATGTGGTGAGGAAGACAGATTCCTATAACCCAATTTCACAAAGGTAATGAGGGAGTCATGTACAAAGCAATAGCAAAGCATGGCCACCATGCACTAAACCTAGCTGGTGACACTTACTTCATCAGAGCCTCCTTCCCTGGGTGTCCTAAACACCACTTATTTTATTATTACGAATATTCGGTGTGATGGGAATCTCTTCTCTTCTCAATATTTTTAAACAAAGTTTCTGTATGTGGCATTTCTTTGTCTAAAATAGCAAGTTGCTCTGGGCCTTAGAGTTCAATCTGTACATTGGCTTAGGTTATTCCCACTACTTTGGGTGGGCTGTGTGGATTCCACTAGAACCCCCTAGAGTAGCGATGGAGATGTATGGGGGTATATCTGGGTCCTGGTGCCTTATCTTTAGGGCTCTCTTGTGCTCTGTTTCCTTGGATGTAGGAAGTGCATTCCTTGTTCAACCAAGCCCTTCTGCCATAGTGTTTCTGCCTTGGAGCCAGGGACTCAATCCTCTGAAACCGTACTGTTGGATGGACAGTGGTATCTCTAAATATCTGGATTTTGGTGATGTAAGCTCCTCTTTCTGTGTCCTTGTGTGACAATTAGATAATCTGTCCCTGTTTGCCTTTTATATCATGCTCCTCCACACTGCACTGCTTGTCTTTTGACTCTATGATTTTGTATAATCTGAATATTGCATGGATGGATCATATTTTTGAGAACATTCTTCCATCTATGTCTTTGAATTTGAAAATAGCAGTTAATGTGTAGAATTTCGCTTTGACCAACTCTGTATGCTGGTATCTGTGAACCAAGCAAGTACATAGAATGCAGAAGTATGTAATAAAAAGCCATCCTTGAATATCTGCCTCAATTTGGTGAGTTTAAATGATTTATATTTAAAATGAGTACTGATAATTAAGAACTTATTTCTGACCTTGGGCTACTTGCTGCTTATGTCACTATTGTTTGTCCTCAAATCTCTCAATAATGCCTTAGCATGTTTTGTAGGCTGGAACCTTTTAAAAATATCTGGTGGTATGTCTGTTAGTCCTATTTTATTTCTGGTGACACTAGGAATTGAACCCAGGGATGTTTGACAGAGATACAGTCTGCATGCTGCCTGTATTTTTTAGTTTTTATTTATTTTTTATTTTTTCAGAACAAATTACTTTATTTTGATGAATAAAAGAAATAGTAATTAAAAACAAAACAAATGCATTCTTCTCTCTGGCAGCGCCACACCCAGACTCCAGGCTGGAAGATCCCTTTTCTCAGTTCATCGACTCTTGTCAGTTACTTTCCATGTCCCAGTCTTTGAGCAGGTAGTTAGGGTTAGCTACCAGGTATGGATCTTCTTCATAGCTCTCACTTCCTTCCGTGGAGCCTTTCAGCCCAGCCTGGGTGAGTTCAATGAGAACGTGGTCGTAGTGTGTGAGGCGGTGAATGACTTTCTCTATCATTCTCTTTTTATTTATAAGTTCCTCTTCTGAGTCTATTTCTGATTCAATTTCCTTCAGGTACCAGTTAACAAGTTCACTCCTCTTTAATGCTGACTCATCCTCCTCTTCTTCCATTTTTCTGAGGTGAAGCACAATGAGGTTAGAGATTCGGCAGTACTCAGAGAAGCCCAGCCTCAAGGAGGCTTTGGAAACAGCATCTTTATTTATGTCCTCACTGTAGCCATTGATTCCATTCACAGGGGCAGGACTGTCAGCATGACTGTTGACACCATCTGGACCCTCATCAACTTCTATCTGGGTCTCCTCTTCTTGGTCTAGATTGACATCAGGTGTTTCCACACGGATGATTGACTTATTTAGTAACCGAAAAGCTTCCTTCACGTGTTTTGGCTGGACCTCATCACAGCAATGCATGCGGACCATCGCTTCAGAGAGATGGATCATGCTCTCAAGCTGTCACACTGTAATTCTCCATGAAGACTTGGCTACCCCAGAACCATTCCTCTGGCAAAGACATTTATACTACTCCACAATGAAGTCCTCTGACTCTTTGGAAATCTTGGGTTTGAACTGTCTGGCGAAAAGAAGGTATCTCCTGATGTCATCAAGGGAGTAGACTCAGTCAGTTGACTCCTCAATTCTTGAATGAATGTCTACTATCCACCTGGCAATAGCATAATCTGTAACATTGTTACATTCATCCACCAGGATAAAGAAGAGATCAAATTGAGACATAATGGGAGCAGACAAGTTTATATTCTGCTTTAGTGACTTGGACCTGTCATAGTGTCCACTGACTGGGTTTGCTGCCGCCAAAATGGACGTTCTGGCATTCAGGGTAGCCTTCACTCCTGCTTTAGTGATGGAAATGGTCTGCTGTTCCATAGCTTCATGAATGGCAACTTGATCCCACACATCCATCTTATCGAGTTCATCAATACAACATACACCGTTATCAGCTAGCATCAAAGCTCCAGCCTCAATAACAAACTCATGCAATTCTTCATCTCTCACAATGGCAGCTGTTAAGCCAGCAGCACTGGATGCTTTGCCACTGGTGTAGACAGCTCTGGGGCTGAACTCCTCCACGTGCTTGAGAAACTGACTCTTAGCTGTACTTGGGTCACCAACAATGCAAACATTTATGTCTCCTCGAAGAGAGGTCCCTTCTCCTGTTGTCTTTGGAACACCACCAAAGAGCATCAGCAGGACACCTCACTTTACCTCATCATTGCCATGTATAGTAGGGAACAGGCTGGTACAAAGATTGTGGTAGAGATTTTTATCTTGGCTCATTTCAAAAACTTTCTCCCACTCCTTCACAGTCATTTGGTTCTTAATGCTCTCGGCTGTCTGTTCTTCATCTCTGAGCTCTTTCACACCAAAACGTGGGTTGGTTGGTGCAACACAACAGGCAAGAAAGACTAGCCGGTAAGAAAGATCCCTAACACCAAGGGCTCGGAGTCCCCGAATGCCTTCTGTCTCATAGCCATCAGTGCCACTGACACGGGAATTAGTTTCTGCATGTGCTCCTAGTGTACTAAGCTTAGAGACATCAGGCACAACAATCAGCGTCCCCGTAAAGTCACACTTGTCACCAGCTTGAGCTGACTCCCCAGCTTCAGTCCTCAAGATTACTTCTAAACTGTGGGGAATGCTTCCTTGGGGATGCTCAGCTTGAGTCTCCTGGATACGAACCTTTTGAAAATCAACAAATCTTGATTTGTTTGTATCCAGCAAGAATCTCTTCCTGTTGGCACAGACTGGATTTCGGCAGATATTTGGCTGTGTGTATTTGAACTGCTGTTCTACATCCTTGATGACTGTCTGACAGTCCAAGCACAGGAAAGTTCCACTCTCCAGCTCTGGGTGAACAGGGTGAGTCCGCACGACCTGCCCACTGATGCGAGTGAGCAAACTGATTCTGGATGAGGTGAGTTCTCGAATTTTGTGTCTAGTAGGTAGGTCTTGGAAAGCAACATAAAAATCCTTGGCAAGAGGGATCTCTTTCCGGTCTTTGACAAAGGTCTTTAAGGCGCGACACAGTTAAGGGTAGACTCTATAGAACTCTTCTTGAATGGTGGTGGAGAGTTGCTGGTTATATTGCTCCAGGTCTGCAAAACTCACAACCAATGTGTTTCTCTCAGGACGAATCAGCTCCTCAGCTAACTGCAAGTACTTAATTTCACCATTGCTGCTCTGGAACTCCTTCAGGAAGTCCAGGAACAGCTTCTGGCATTTCTCAGCCACTTCATCACAGACGTCCTGGTGCTGGCTGCCGGTGCCTGGTTCCGCTGTTGCTGGAGGTCCATCGCTACCTGCTGCCGAGGAGCCGCCGGTCCCTAGACGCTGCTGCCTTTGTATTTTTTATTTTGAGACAAGATTTCACTAAATTGCTTGGATTAGATCATGTGTTCCTCAGCTTCATTGTACCAGGGTCATGGGACTGCAGGCGTCTTAGCCACCCCTGGTTTATCATGCATTTTTGAAGAACAGTTTTTCTAGATGTATAAATGTTGCTGACAGCTTTTTCCCCTTACAGTTTAAGTACGTTATATCACTGCCTTCTGCCCTTACAGTTTGTGAAGAGAAGTCAATTGTTAATCAATTTTAATGAAAATTTTCATAGAAGCCCTTTGTTTTAAATATTTTAAAGAGAATAAATTCATAAAAAACAATTAGAAATGACACAGAATTTTACAAAAGACGAGGACAGGAATTTGACATTTTCCATGTTGTATTCCATTGTCTTCAAATTGGTTGTTGAAGAGCCAGGGAGATGGCTCAGTGGAATAAGCGCTTCCCTGGCAAGCACAAGGGCCTGAGTTCAATCCCTGGTTCCATGAAACAAAAAACAAAAACAAACAAACAAACAAACACCAAATTGGTTGTTCAGATTAGTGGACATAAGTATGCAAAATGGGTCAAAAGGTGAAAAATAACAAAAATAGTTTAAGCATTAACTGTTTCTTTCAATAAATCCATCAAATTTATCAGTATTATTATCCTAGCTATCCTGTGTATCAGGTATCAGAACCATGTTTATTGCCCAAAATTTGTCATAGCTAACTCATGGCAACAACACAAAAGCCCATGAACTAAAGAATGGATAAAAAAGATGTGGGTTTTTTATGCAATGAAGTATTACTATGAAGAAAGATAAACCTGAGGTTTTTATAGGTAAATGGATGAAACTAGAAGCTATACTTTTTTCTTTTATTTATTTATTTATTAATTTTATTGAGAAAAATTGCAATGAGACAGTTTCAAAACAGGTTGGTAGGAGAGTTACAACAATTAATACATTGCATAATGTTGTCTTTGCAGTAGTAATTCATAGCACAAACTGCAGACATGACATCCTGTCCAAACACTATTAGTACAAATTTTCCTCTTATGGAATTAAGAGAAAATAGCTATATAATCTATCCTAACTATTTTGTATATAGAAATACAAAATTGTCCTTCGCTTATATCTCTTTTTTGTTTGGTTTTGTCAGAGATGGGTATTGCATTGCCATCCAAATATTGTAGGTACATGAATTCAGCAAAATATTCCAATATAGTCCAGTAGTCCACAATAGTAGTGGGCTATCCACAGGACTGACAATGTCCGAATCTGTTGAGTTGAGCCTTCCACAGCTCAGCATATTAACATGGCTTCACTTTTCATATATTGTTTCTACATTTTTCTGCTGGATGGTTAAGACCAAGATAAAGCAATACCTATATAACAAGAAGTATAACTTTTGGATCTGATAAGGTCAGTCAAGTACCCTCAGGACTGTACCACACTTTGTAGATCCTTTGTTAGTGTCAGCCATATGGATGAGTCATGGTCATTGGTTGACCAATGTGCTCTCTGTGAAAGCCTGAGAGAATGTTTTTTCTCCGTGTGACTCTCTTTAGACACACACTACATCATCAATCACATTCCTCTGTGGCCTCATAATCTCCTTAATCAAAATTTGGGACACAACTGAGTTAAATGATGTCAGTATTGGTTCTCCTATGTCCTGTGTCTTCACTGACCTTGAAAGGCTAGGGCCAAAATGTGGTCTGTTCTTGCAGCCCTTCTTTTTCTCTAATTTTTGGTCACAAAATAAGGTTGTAAACTTTCCTGAAGAGAAGTTTATTATTATCCTACAACATATGCAGTTGGGTTTAACCTATCTGTCTGAATATCAAATATCTTAGGCATAAGATGGAACATGTATTTTCCATCAAGTATTGACATGTTAAACTTTAAGTTAGAGGCTATACTTGTCAGTGAAATGCATCAGACAACATGTATAAATATCATATTGTCTTACTAGTGTAAGAACAAGAAAGTGTGAATAAAATCTGAATGGTATAATAGATCCCATGAAAGAGAAAGAATCTGTTCAAAGGGAAGGAACAACTGGGACAAGGGAAAGAAGAAAGGAAAGATAGAAAGAAGGGTCAACTGTTAATCTTATTAAGATTCATTTCTCTGGGAGAAGTCACTTCTCTGCTATTTTGAAGACTTTTCATCTTTTATCACTTTCTTTATAATGAAGATAATTTTGGGTGTATTCTGCCTACACATTTTGAGCTTATGAGGTTTGGATATTGTTGTAGTTCACTATATTTAGGAAGTTTGGGTCCATTGTTTATTGGAAAGTCTCCTTGAAACTTTATATCTTCCTAATCTTGAATATATATATATATATATATATATATATATATATATGATAATATTTGTGGGCACATTTAGGCCTTGTTTCATTTTCTTTATTCTTTCTGCTTCTCAGACTGAGTCATTTCATTTATCCCTTAATTTTACTGGTTCTTTCTTCTGCTTGCTCAAATCTGCACTAGCCCTCTGTTACTGAACTTTTCATTTATGTTACTATAACTTTAAGCTTCAGAAATAAAAATTTTGCTTTTATGAATATTCTTTGTCTTTTTGTACATAGTGTCTTTTTCTTCCTTTAGTCTATTTCTCATTTTCTTTTAGCTTTTTTTGAGTATTTGAAATATTCTGGGTTTAAAATCATTGTTTAGTCTATTCAGTGTCTAGGATTTCCAAAAATTATTTTATGTAAATTGTCTCTTTTCTGTGAATGGGGTCTGCTTTTATTGTTTTATTTTATTCTTTATAACTTTTTGCTGAAAACTGGACATTTCTTATATCGTAATTGTGGTGGCTTTGTCACAATGCAAAGGATATTTCTCTTTCCATAGCATTTTGTTCACCCAGGGCCCAAAGGTCATACCTCAGCTTAACGGGCAAGAGTTGTTTCTCTTACCAGTTTTCTCAGCATCTCATGCTGTGTATGTTCATATCATGTCTACGAAGAACATGAGAAATGTTTATTTTATGATAGGTAAGAGGGATCATGCTTAGTCACTTACCAAAACCTTGAGTATTCATAGTATGATTATAAAACTAATATTTTATATAGTTTTTTTATCTCCCCAATTTCTGCCTATTAATTCTTGGATTATATCCTTTATCATCTGGTCTTGGTATAACATGTTGGACATAGATATCTCTCTGCCATGGACTTACTGTTACTACCTAATAGCTCCAGAATAATGTAAGACATATATGCAAATAAAAAGGCAGTCTACATCATTCCAGGCAGCCCTTCAAATAAGCTCTATGTAAAATTAGGTATTGCAGAAACCTGCTGGGTCTGCACAAACATTACTGCTATGGCTTGTGTCTAGATGTTCCCCAAAAGCTGAATGTGGTCATGGATGGGGCATTTTCAGAAGTGGCTGATCTAGAGTGTGTTACAGCAGGATTGATACATGGCACAATGCTAGATTCACAGGCATTAGGATTGAGGGTGTGAATGATATGGGTCCTGAGTAGCCTGGATAATATATAAGGGATAGAAAGAACCATGGTTGTCCCTTACTTGTTTTTGTTTTCTTCTGCCCACCATGAATAGTTTCTCCACTGCAGTGCCAGACTGCCATGAAATGCATACTTGGAGTCAGTGAGTTCTGGAGTGAAACCTCTACAATTGTGTGCAAAATAAACCTTTTCCTATTTACCTTTTGGTGTTGGATATTTTGCCCAGCAGTGAGGGGAATTTAACTACAACAATTCTGTTGGTGTCACAGTGTAAGCTGTGACAGAGGGAGACTAGAATTAGTGGTATTGTTATTAGTTCACATTAGCTGGCTTCAAACCTTTCTCTCCTGAATCTCTCCTTGGCTACAGTCTTCACAGGATTAACAAGGTCAGGGTTTTACCTGTCTTCATATGTTATAATGGGTTAGATGGAGAGGAAATGCCCTTGTTCTGGGAGGATTCCCAGTCTGGGTGCTGCTGAGTGTGAGAAGGAAAGTTCTTTATGGTGTAATTCGTTGGTGCCTGATTCATTCCAGAAAAAGAATGGCAGGGTAAAGGCACATCATAGGTGTCCTGAAATAATTTAACTCTAATATATATTGGCAGTATATCTTAAATATAAATATAATAGATAGAAGGGAAGGCAAAGGGCACACATTTTATTTCATACCTTCACATGATTTAAGGCATGTGTAAAGGAATTTATGTAACTTATCCCATTGAGATTTCCACACCCTGCACAAGAATTATATTTACATGCTCTAAAATGACACAGACAGGCATATTAAGTGACATGGCTGCTATCATATTGTTTCTTAAAATATGGCCACACACACACATGTGCTGCCTGCTTGCCATAATACACACTTTCCTCTTTATGATTCTTAGAAGTAGTGTGAAGCACACTGGGAAGACTTCATCTCAGGAAAAGAAAGTGATCTCCTAGTGAGAGCTGTCTCAGGAATGCCATTCTGCTATGGCCAAGTGCTTTCTTTCCAGGGAGTTCTTGCCACAGTGGTGGGGTGGTGTCTGAAAGTACTGCTGGATTACAGAGGGTGTGGGAAAGATTGCTTTTAAAATCTCAGGCAGCTCTGAGCCCATGTTTCAGACAGAAGAAATTTGATCTGGGGATTAGGAACTGTGGTATTATCCTCAGGTACATGGCTCAATTGCCTATTTGTGGGCTTCTTGATCTCAAATTCCAGTCATCACAGGACAGAGTAAAGATTTTAAATGTTTCAAAGTATAATATCTAAAACAGGTTGTGTGTCAGGTAGCTTTTTGAACTATGTGTGTCAAGGTAACTTTTTAAAGTCTCTCTATATCTTTAAATTTCTACATATATTATCTATCTATCTATCTATCTATCTATCTATCTATCTATCTATCTATCATCTATCTATCTATCTATCTATCTATCTATCTATCTATCTATCTACCTTTGCATAAGTATTTCAACATGCATTTTTGTGTATGATCACATACTTATATCAGGCATGTA